TGAGATCAGGAGGTCAAGACCAGCCTGGCCAACATGGTGAAACCCCATCTTTAGAAAAAAAAAAGAAAAGAGATTGAGTTTTGCGGTGGCATGGTGGCTCACACCTGTAATCACAGCACTTTGGGAGGCCGAGGTGGGCAGATCACAAGGTCAAAAGATCGAGACCATCCTGGTTAACATGGTGAAATCCTGTCTCTACTAAAAATACAAAAATTATCTGAGCATGATGGCACATGCCCGTAATCCCAGCTACTTGCTAGAGTGAGGCAAGAGAATTGCTTGAACGGGAATCCATTAGGCAAAGGTTGCAGTGAGCTGAGATTGTGCCACTGCACTCCAGCCTGGGCTACAGAGTGAGATTCATCTAAAAAAAAAAAAAATTAGATATATTGGGTTAAATAATAAATTATAAAATCAATCTTTTTAAAAATAGATATGCCTACTAAAAAACATAAAATTATGTATGTGTCTCACATTATACTTCTGATGGGCAGCACTGATCTGGAAGAAAAAGATGTCTTTACTAAAAACCATAATACGTGTTTTAAAGTTGTAAGTGTCTTAAGAGGAGGATAAATTACATGCTATAGGCATATGATAGAGGAAGTGGTTGAGAGAATCAGAAAAAAGCTCTTCAATACTTTTTAGTTCTTAAATTGGTGGTTCATATTAATTAAATTCTTAATTCAGCTACTTTAAAATGCCTCCTAGGCTGGGAGCAGTGGCTAACACCTGTAATCTCAGCACTTTGGAAACCAGAGGTGGGCAGATCCCTGACGTCCTGAGTTCCAAACCAGCCTGGCCAGCGTGGTGAAACCACTCTCTATTAAAAATACAAAAATTAGCACGTGTGGTGGCACACACCTGTAGTCCCAGCTATTAGGGAGGCTGAGGCTGGAGGATCGCTTGAACCAGGGAGGCAGAGGTTGCAGTGAGCTGAAATCACGCCACTGCACTCCAGCTTGGGCAACAGAGTGAGAGCCCATCTCAAAAAAAAAAAAAAAAAAAAAAAAACCTCCTAATGAATGGATTTCATTTTCAGTATGCCTAATTTATGAGTTTTAAGGGGCACTTTAGCTCCTTCAACTTGACAACAATACTCTGATAAAACTGGAAGTCAGTCAGTGACTCATCTTTACTTGGTTGAGTTAGATGAATTTGAAACTTAAGAAAGAATTCTAAGTGATGGCCCTCAAAACTGTGCCAGCACTACCCTTTGTATCTGCATTAAAATGGACTGTGAAGGAACAAGGAGTGTGGACTGGAATCTAAAAACAATGACTGAAGAGAACCAGGCATCTGTATTCATTCGGCTTTAATAATTTTACTGAAATCAGAAAATTATGTTTGACTGAATGTGTGGTATTTACAGGACCTGTACATTTTTCTTGAATAACACCTATAATTCTTTATACAGTGAATCATAGTAAACATGAGTACTGCCTTGAATCCTGGATCTGTACACTTGTAAAATGGAATAAATTCTTAAAATGTTACTGTGTTTCTTTTAAAAATAAATATGATAGGCTGGGCGCAGTGGCTCACGCCTGTAATCCCAGCATTTGGGAGGCTGAGGTGGGTGGATCACCTGAGGTTGGGAGTTCGAGACCAGCCTGGCCAACGTGGTGAAACCCTGGCTCTATTAAAAATACAAAAATTAGCCAGGCATGGTGGTGGGCACCTGTAATCCCAGTTACTTGAGAGGCTCAGGCTAGAGAATTGATTGAACCCGGAGACAGAGTTTGCAGTGATCCGAGACTGCGTCACTGCACTCCAGCCCAGGCCACAAGAGAGAAACTCTATCTCAAAAAACAGAACAAAACAAAACAAAAAACAAAAAAACTTAACGCCCTGGTATCTAGAAAGGTTTCACTTGTAATTTAAGTTTGAACTAGAAAGACAGCCCTGCAAGTCACTGAATGGAATTCTCAAAACTCTTGCTCTGGCCAGATCAGCTCTGTTACGCGACAAACAGCATGAAGTGGACGGTACCTTCAATGATGAAAAAAGGAGCATAATGGAGAGTTGTAATCATGAACAAATATCACACCATCTGATAATTGGTACCATTGTCTCAGTCCATTTTGTGTTGCTATAACAGAATACCCAAGACTGGGTAATTTATAAAGAAATAGTTATTTGGCTCATGATTCTGGAGTTCAGGAAGTTCGAAATTGAGAGGCAATATCTGGTGAGGGCTAGCTTGCTGCATCATCCTGTGGCAGAAGGTTGAAGGGCAAAAGAATGCAAGAGGAAGGGTAGGCTTGCACAAGGAATGTGTAGAACTCATCCTTTTATCAGAACCCCACTCCCAGGTAACGGAGGTAAGGGCATTAATCTATCCATGAAGCCAGTGCTCTCATGACCTAGTCACCTCTTAAAGATCCACCTCTCAACACTTGCACTGGGGAGTAAGTTTCCAACACATGAACTTTGGGGGACATATTCAAACCATAGCAGCCATTTACTGAGCATTCACCTATTATATATGAAATAAAAATCAGAAGAGATAAGGTCCTATAGTCATGTGGAGCTTGTTTGATAAGAGGAAAAGCATTGTGGTAAATGGAAAAATTGAATGGGTTTTAGAGCTGCAGTCCTGGATTCAAATCCTAGCTCACCAGTTACTATGACCTTTGGCAAACTGATCTCTCAAATCTTCAGTTTACTTACTTATAAATAGTCTTTCCTTTTCCCTGTGTTGTTTTAGGTAAGATCGTTTAAAGATAATGCTTTTTGTTCACTGTCTTAAGAGAAATGTAAAATAAACTGAAATGCTTCACACCTTTCATATAATTCTTCCATAGCTTGTATAATAAAGCTTTGGAATAAGGTCAAGAACATTTATATAAGCAGGCTGGGCATGGTAGCTCACGCTTGTAATCCCAGCACTTTGGGAAGCCTAGGTGTGTGGATCACCCGACATCAGGAATTCAAGACCAGCCTGGCCAACATGGTGAAACCCCCTCTCTACGAAAAATGCAAAAATCAGCCAGGCGTGGTGGTGCACACCTGTAGTCCCAGCTACTTGGAAGGCTGAGGTAGGAGAATTGCTTGAACCCAGGGGGCAGAGGTTGCAGTGAGCCCAGATCGTGCCATTGCACTCCAGCGTGGGTGACAGAGCAAGACTGTCTCAAAAAGTAAAGAAAGAAAATACAGGGCCGGGCGCGGTGGCTCAAGCCTGTAATCCCAGCACTTTGGGAGGCCGAGGCGGGTGGATCATGATGTCAAGAGATCAAGACCATCCTGGTCAACATGGTGAAACCCCGTCTCTACTAAAAATACAAAAAATTAGCTGGGCATGGTGGCGCGTGCCTGTAATCCCAGCTGCTCAGGAGGCTGAGGCAGGAGAATTGCCTGAACCCAGGAGGCGGAGGTTGCGGTGAGCCGAGATCGCGCCATTGCACTCCAGCCTGGGTAACAAGAGCGAAACTCCGTCTCAAAAAAAAAAAAAAAAAAAAAAGAAAATACAGAAGGCCAGGCACAGTGGCTCTCGCCTGTAATCCCAGCATTTTGGGAGGCCAAGGTGTAGGAAATCGTGTAAGCCAGACTTTTGAGCCCAGTTTGGCAATATGGCGAGACCCCATTTCTACATACATGCATACATACATTCATGGTGTTTATTGTGTACACTTTTTTTTTTTTCTTTTTTAGAGACGGGATTTCACCATGTTGGCCAGGCTGATCTTGAACTCCTGACCTCAAGTGATCCACCCGCCTTGGCCTCCCAAAGTGCTCAATTACAGGCTTGAGCCACCACACCCGGCCTAAATGTGTACACTTTGAAGGGGTAAATATTCCGGGTAAAGGAATTAAGTTCTGCTAAATTTGGAATACTGCCTATCAAAGGAAAACTGTTCTCACGTATAAGAGGAAAAAAGATAGTTCTGAAGACTACTTTTTTCCCTGCATAAAACCAGATAAATTTTGCTGGGTGTGGTGGCTCACACCTGTAATCCCAGCATTTTGGGAGGCTGAGGCGGGCGGATCACCTGAGGTCAGGAGTTTGAGACCAGCCTGACCAATATGGCGAAACCACATCTGTACTTAAAATACAAAAATTATTCGGGTGTGATGGTGGGTGCCTGTAATCCCAACTACTTGGGAGGCTGAGGTAGGAGAATCGCTTGTACCTGCGAGGCGGAGGTTGCAGTGAGCCGAGATTGCACCATTGCACTCCAGTATGAGTGACAGAGTAAGACTCTGTCTCAAAAAAAAAAAAAAAAAAAAAATTCAAAAATTAATGAAATTTTTCGGAAAGGTAGTGACTTTTCAGAGGGAAAGTAATATGTAAGGCCTTTTGCTCTCGTATTGCCAAAGCTGGAAGATTTCTCTGGACTGTGAAACAGTCTGTAATACTAAGATATGAATACTAGCCATACATTAAGGACAGTGCAAATAATTTTCAGTATGTAAGTCTTCTTTCAGAAGTAACTAGGCAGGAGAGTTTTGAAATAGTTGAAATTCCACAATTTCATTTTTATATTTTTTATTTTTGTATTTTAATTTTTTTAAGAAAGGCCCTCCTTTGACACAATTTCATTTTAAAACTCTGAGTTTAGTAGGTTTATTAGAACCTGACTATTATGTGTATGAATAGCAGCTTTTAGTGTGTCTGGTAGTGGTGGTTTTTCTTTTTTAACTATTATAGGAAGTTTCAAGAATTTGTACTATTGGTATACTTTTTTTTTTCTTTGAAAGTAATCAATTTGGTTCTGATTACAAAATACAGGTGAGGAGCACAGGCAATGCCTGTAACCCCTCTGCTGCACATCTCCCCAGTATGTGCTTCTGTAAATATCCTTTGTACAACAGCAAGCTCAGGCTGTCCCCAAGCGCTTGCACATTCTTTTTTTTTTTTTTTTTTTTTTTTTAAAGACGGGGTTTCACCATGTTGGTCAGGCTGGTCTTGAACTCCCGACCTCAGGTGATCCGCCCGCCTTGGCCTCCAAAGTGCTTGGATTACAGGCGTGAGCCACCGTGCCCAGCCGCGCTTGCACATTCTAACAGCTGCAGAGTATAGTGCATGACCAGGTGGCGAGTTAGACAGAAGCCCCACTCACAAGGTGGGGCACCTCCAATTAGTCTTCCAGCTCCCTTTTGCTGATAATAACTGGTTGCTCTTCCTATTGGTCATAGACAAATTATACCTGCACAATTCTCCCAGTGCTTTCAGGTAACCTCAGAAGGCAGTGACTAAGAGGTTTCCTTCCTCCCAGCTTTCTATGTCTCTGGCTGCTTGTGGCACCTGGACTGCTGCCGCCCCTGGGTCCTGGACATTCCAGGGTGACAATGGAGGAAGGGCAGGTCAAGCATGAGGAATTAACAGCCTTCATTGGGCTCAGACAAGGAGTCCGTGGGTCTGGAGGACTTCCGTGTATTTGTCAGTTTCCTTCTCCACATTCTTCTCAGCCTATTTCCATAGCCTCATGAGCTGTTTCTTCTTCTGGTAGTGGATCTTGGCTTTCTCCTTCCTCTTCTCCTCCAGGGTAGCTGTCACTGCCTGGTACTTACAGCTAACCTCGTGAGCCAGGTGCCCCAGATGTGAAGACTTTCTTATATGCTTCAGACGCACAACTTTGAGGGCAGCAGAAACCACCATCCACTTTTTCTTGTCATGGGATGGTGGGATGCTGTCAAGCACCTTGAGGCACTCCAGGGCGGCCTGGCCTTGCTTGGTCTTGTGGGGCAGCATGCCTCGCACACTCTGCTAGAGAGGCTGGTGGCCCGGAAGTGATAGGGGCCTCGGGAAGGGTTGGTGTTCATCCGCTTGTGGAGGAAAGCCAGGTACTTCAACTCATTTCTGTAGAAATTGCCAGAAATGTTGATGCCCTCACAGCATGTGACCACCACCTTCAGCCCAGCAGTACCTGCTTAGCCACAGTGGCCACCAGGCGACCCAGGAGATGGCCTCGACCATTAAGCACCAGGACCTGCAACTTTGCCATCTTCGGCAGCCACCTGGGAAAAAGGTTATTAGTATACTTTCCATTATTTATTTATTTATTTTTCAGGCAAAATCTCACTGTCACCCAGGCTGGAGTGCAGTGGCTGGATCTCAGCTCACTGCAACCTCTGCCTCCTGGGTTCAAGCAGTTCTCCTGCTTCAGCCTCCTGAGCAGCTGGGACCACAGGTGCCCACCACCATGCCTGGCCGAGAATTTGTACTGTTGGTTTACTTTCATTTTCAACTTGAAAGTATATCTGAAATAGGAGAAATTAGGTTACTGAAAGCAGAAGTCAGAAGAAATCGGTTTGCTTCCCTTCCTCTTGTGGAACTTCCCATTCTTTAGCCTAGATTCTCAGCCTGCTTGCCCATCCTTCGCACTAGTTCACTACACATCTTGCTGCCCCACACCCACAAATAGATAGTGTAGCGGTATGGGCTTCTGGAGAGTACAGACTTACAGCTTCAACATTTGCAGGACTTACATGTAAATGTTATTTGTGGGAAAATATTTTGTATTCAAATATTTTTCTGCACTAAAACATTTCCTAGTTCCCTTCTCTCCGTACAGCCCACTGCTTCTCTTCCCCCGCCAACTCGTTCTCTTTGAAGCAGTGCTTTCTTCCTTTGTTTTTGTTAGATTGAACCATAAGAAATTACCAATATTTCATCACATTTGACTTATAAAAACATTTTCATATGGTTTAACCTAATTGTTCTTTTTTTTTTTTTTTTTGAGATGGAGTTTCGCTCTTGTTGCCCAGGCTGGAGTGCAATGGCGCGATCTCGGCTCACCGCAACCTCCGCCTCCTGGGTTCAGGCAATTCTCCTGCCTCAGCCTCCTGAGTAGCTGGGATTACAGGCATGGGCCACCATGCCCAGCTAATGTTTTGTATTTTTAGTAGAGACGGGGTTTCACCATGTTGACCAGGATGGTCTCTATCTCTTGACCTCGTGATCCACCCGCCTCGGCCTCCCAAAGCGCTGGGATTACAGGCGTGAGCCACCGCACCCGGCCTTTTTTTTTTTTTTTTTTGAGACAGGGTTTCACTCTGTCATCCAGGCTGTAGTGCAGTGGCCCGATCTGGGTTCACTGCAACTTCCACATCCTGGGTTCAAGTGATCCTCCTGCCTCAGCCTCCCAAGTAGCTGAGATTACAGGTGCGTGCCACCACACCTGGCTTATTTATTTATTTATTTATTTTTTGTATTTTTAGTAGAGACAGGGTTTCGCCATGTTGGCCAGGCTGGTCTGGAATTCCTGACCTCGCTTACCTTGGCCTCCCAAAGTGCTGGGATTAGAAGCGTGAGCCACCACACCCAGCCACTCACCAAATACTCTTGATTTTTTAAAAAAATGGATATTTGTCTAATAACCTTTTCCCTAAATATTTAATTATTGTTAGTCAAGTTGCTATTTGGTTTTCTGTTTATGGAACTCTCTTCATCTCATTTGCAGTTCTTGATAACCATGTGTGGGTAGATATGACAGGTATCAGCCTTGTTTTACAGATAAAAAACCATGAATCAGATAGATTTTGATTTGTCCAAGTCACATAATATTAAGAAACAGGCTGAGCGTGGTGGCTTATGTCTGTAATCCTGATACTTTGGGAGGCTAAGGTGGATGGATTTCCTCAGCGGAGGAGTTTGAGACCAGCCTGGGCAACATGGCGAAACCCCTTCTCCATGAAAACGGTAACAGTTAGTGGGAGGTGGTGGTGAGAGCCTGTAGTCCCAGCTACTCAGGCTGAGGTGGGAGGATCACCTGAGCCTGGGAGGTTGAGGCTGCAGTGGCAACAGATTGGGTAACCTGGACATCAGAGCAAGACCCTGTCTCAAAAAAAAAAAAAAAGAAAGAAACAGCTTAAATTCTAATCCAAGTCTTCTTCAATTCAAAGCCTCTGTCTTTCCATGTTACCACATTGCTTCTCTGCTATTTTTCATATTTACATAGATAACATTTTCATACTATATTTTATATTTTTATGCCTCTAACATTTTTATTTAAATACGTCAACAAATATTTGAACACATACTATGTGCCCACTATCTCTTCAAATAGATTTTTGTCCCTCTTTCTCTCCTGGGCTCTAATCTTATGTAGATTAAATTGATTGCTGTTGTTCTGCAAGTGGCCTCTATTTTTAATCCCCCCACCAACCCTCCCTCTGTTTTTCTTCTCTCTGTGTTTCATTTTGGATAATTACTATTGCTGTATCTTCAGGATCACTGATGTTTTCTTCTGTAATTTTCAGTCAGCTATTAATACCATCCAGTGTATTTTGTATTTCAGATACTATATTTCACCTATAGAAGTTTGATTTGGGTCCAGGCGCGGTGGCTCACGCCTGTAATCCTACCACTTTGGGAGGCCGAGGTGGGTGGATCACCTGAGGTCAGGAGTTCAAGACCAGCCTGGGCATCATGGTGAAACCCTATCTTTAAAAAAAAAAAAAAAAAAAAGAAGTTTGATTTGGGTCTTTTACCTATATATTCCATTCTCCATTATGTCATGCTTTCTTTTATACCCTTTAGTGTACTTGTAATAGCTGTTTTGTTTGTTTTTGTTTTGAGGTGGAGTCTGCTCTGTCTCCAGGCTGGAGTGCAGTGACACAATCTTGGCTCACCGTAACCTCCACCTCCCGGGTTCAAGCGATTCTCCTGCCTCAGGTTCTTGAAAAGCTGAGACTATAAGCATGCACCACCATGCCCAGCTAATTTTTTATTTTTAGTAGAGATGGTATTTTACTATGTTGGCCAGGGTGGTCTCCATTTCTTGACCTCGTGATCCACCCGCCTCAGCCTCCCAAAGTGCTGGGATTACAGGCATGAGCCACTGAGCCTGGCTGTAATAGCTGTTTTAAGGTCCTGGTGTGCTAATTCCATCATCTCTGTCATTTCTTGGTCTTTTTCTTTTGATTAATTTTTGTTATTAGTCATATTCCTGCTGCTTTGCAAGTGTGGTGATTTTTTTTTTTTTTTTAAAGACGGGGGTTTCACCATGTTGGTCAGGCTGGTCTTGAACTCCCGACCTCAGGTGATCTGCCCGCCTTGGCCTCCAAAGTGCTTGGATTACAGGCGTGAGCCCCCATGACCAGCCTAAGTGTGGTGATTTTTTATTGGACTCAAGGGGATCCCTCTGTGGATCTTCTGTGACCATTCTCAGTGCAGAACTCTGTCTCTGTTCTCTGTTCTCACTTTTTCTTGGTTCCAGTATTCAAATCTTGCAAATTCTGGTTGTTTTAGATCTCCTAAAGTTTAATTTCTCTCCTCCACTTAGCAAGACCATCCCATTTTGTTTGGGTTCCCTCTCCCTGTGTTGCAGCCTGGAAGCCACTTAGATGCAGTAAGCTGGGGTAGTCATTGGTTCACCTGGTTTGTTTCCTTCTCTCAGGGATCGTAGGTTTAATGCTGCCTGTTGTCCAGTGCCTGAAGGTTACTTCATATATTGTGTCTTGTTTACAATGGGAGTAAGGGTGATAGTTTCTATAGTAGTTAATCCTCATGAGTGGAAGTAGAAATCATTACTTTCTGGATTTAACATCTGACATATTAAATGTGGGAAGGAATGGGGAGAATTTGTTAGAAAGGGAGATTAATAAGGCCGGGCATGGTAGTGGCTCAAGCCTGTAATCTCAGCATTTTGGGAGATCAAGATGGGCAGATCACCTGAGATCAGGAGTTTAAGACTAGGCTGGCCAACATGGCGAAACCCTGTGCCTACTAAAAATACAAAAAACTAGCCAGGTGTGGTGGTGGGCATGTGTGATCCCAGCACTTTGGGAGGCTGAGGTGAGTGGATCACAAGGTCAAGAGTTCGAGACAAGCCTGAGCAACATGGTGAAACCCCATCTTTACTAAAAAAACAAAAATTAGCTGGGCGTGGTGGTGTACACCTGTAGTCCTAGCTACTTGGAGGCTGAGGCAGGAGATTTGCTCGAACCCAGTAGGCAGTGGTTGCAGTGAGCCAAGATTGTACCACTGCGCTCCAGCCTGGATGACAGAGTGAGACTCTGTGTAAAAAAAAAAAAAAAACAAAAACGAAAAATGGAGATTAATAATTATTAAAATTACAGCCAGGCACAGTTGCTCACGTCTGTAATCCTACCACTTTGGGAGGCTGAGGTGGGTGGATCACCTGAGGTCTGGAGCTCAAGACCAGCCTGACCAACATAGTGAAACCCAGTTTCTACTAAAAATACAAAAATTAGTTGGGAGTGGTGGCAGGCGCCTGTAATCTCAGCTACTTGGGAGGCTGCAGCAGGAAAATCACTTGAATCCAGGAAGTGGAGGTTGCAATGAGCCGAGATCGTACCACTGCACTCTAGCCTGGGCGACAACACCGAGAGTCTGTCTCAAAAAAAAAAATTATGAGAAATACAAATTGTGTGTGTGTGTGTGTGTGTGTGTGTGTGTGTGTGTGTGTATTTTGATCCAAAGTTCTGACTTATTTAAAAAAAAAAAAAAAATTAGCTGGGCTTGGTGGTAGGCTCCTGTAGTCCCAGTTGCTCTCGGACTAGAGACTGAGGTGAGGTGAGAGGATTGCTTGATCAGAGGAGATTGAGACTGCTATGAGTTATGATTGTGCCACTGCACTCCAGTTTGGGCAGCAGAGCAAGACTCTGTCTCAAAAAAAAACAAACAAAACTTTTTCCGTTGCTCAGTGGAAAAATATTTTAGCATAATATAATTTCATTGTGTGTCAAGAAGGTCAACTTGTCTTGTAACCGAGTTGAGCTAATAATAAGCTCTTTACCAATATACAAGATAAAATTTCCTTTCAGTTCATGTATTAATTAGGACAAAACTAACTTCCATAAGAAAACCAAAAATATCTGTGGTTGAGCACAAGAGAAATTGTGGGGGACTGTCAGCCATCTGGTGAATCCAGAAACCCAGGTTCCTCTTATCTTCTTGTGGTTCTATTCATTTCCTGGGGCCCTGCCCTTTTTAATTGTTTTCCTTATCACTTCTCTCTTTCTCACTCATTGAGTTGAAATTAATATACCATAGGGCTCACCCTGTTAATTACCTGTTCTTCCTGCACCCCCCCCCCCACAAGGAGTCTCCCTCTGTTGCCCAGCCTGGAATGCAGTGGGGTGATCTTGGCTCATTACACCCTCTGCTTCCGGGTTCAAGCAATTCTCCTGCCTCAGCCTCCTGAGTAGCTGGGATTACAGGTGCCTGCCACCCTGCCCGGCTAATTTTTTGTATTTTTAATAGAGATAGGATTTCACCACGTCAGCCAGGCTGGCCTTGAACTCTGGACTTCGAGTGATCTGCCCACCTCG